TCTCAAAAACGTTGTTGAATGTCAGACATTGCATCCTCTCTTGACATCCAAAAGCAAGAAGGGAGTTTTTCCTCCTAAGAACCAATCTCAATCTCAATCATTCTTCCCCACCCCCGTTTCATTTTTGTTGGTTGTTTTTAATACTAGGAATTGAGTTTAGGACCTTGGTCATGTCATGTAAGCTATATCCCCAGCCCTTTTGAAAAAAAAAAAAAAACTTTTTTGGGATAGTGTTTGCTAAATTTGCCCAAACTGGCCTCGAACTTGTGATCTTCTTGCCTCAGCCTCCTGGGTAGCTTGGATTATAGGTGTACACCACCACATCCAGGCCCTCTTTTGAGTTTTAACTCCAGCCAAGCTGATCCTCTCCTGGGCCCATACCAATATTTGCCAGTGTTCATAATATAAACACTCCCACCATGACTGATTTCGAGCTGCCAGTGTCTATTCAGTGGCTAAGCTGAGCAGTGAGAGAACTTCATGAATAACGTGGGGTTCTCATGAATTCCAAACCTGACTAGGAACCAAAAGCAGTTAGGCTGAGAACACACCCCAAAGACGTGGCACAGGCATTCCCTGGCTGGACAGCCGTTACTGGCCATTGACCTCCAGGGGCCGCTGGACTCTCACCTCCCCTAAAATAGGCCCTGCCCCTACATCCCCCTCCTTCAAAGGCCAAAGTCCTGGGCAGGCATATCCTGCTGGCCAAGTCTGGGCATGTGCTCACTCTCCTGCCAAGAAAGCAGGCAAGTTTCTGCCCTTTCCACTCCTGCAAAGGGAGATAGGGCTGTTTCCCACCAAGTTCCGTGCAGTAGGGATTTTCCACAACATAAGAGAAGCGCTCCTCTGCTGAGTTCCCCTCCACTTTCCACAGTCTCCTTTGTCGTCAGGCCTTTGCACACGCGGCTCCTTTTGGAATATGCTTCTTTCTCTTCTCTAGGTAAATCCTCCTCATCTTTAAAATTCCATCTCACTTAGACAAAATTCCCCCTCAGTCTGACTTAGATGCCCTCCCACCGTGATCTCTCTGCAGCTGTACTTTCCACCACCACCCCTCAGTCGCCTGGCCCTAAGACTCATACTTTCTTACCCCCATCTGGTCTGCAGTCAAGTCCTGTTAATGCTACCTCCATATTTTAGGCCCTTGGCATTTTCTCACGGACCTTTGCAATAGCTCCCTGCAGAGAAGATCTGTTGGTTTTGCCTGCCGAAAACGCTTGTCTCTGACTTTGGAAACTGTCACCATTTACTTTTAAGGAACTACTTCTCCATTCCCAATAGGCCTGAAGGAACTGTTAGTCAGTCAAGGTCCTTTCCCCTTTTGCCAAGGGGTAAACATGAGATCTAAGCCAAGCCAAAAATATGAATCTTGAGTAGAAATCTTGAGTCAAGAAATTGTTGGGTTTCAGGGTGGCCTCGTCCAGCTTTAGAAACACATAAAGAAACAGCTATAGAAGTAAAGCAGAGAGAGATCAGAACATCACCTCTACTCTTGACAGAGATGTTGAAGGTGTGTCTTCACTGGCATTCACAGGACTGACTCAATGGACTGACTTATAAAAGACATCAAAATTAAACTTCTCCAACTAGTCTTAGGCGGCGCTAGAACTCACGTGAGTGAGCCTCCCCCTGGACTGCGTGGTGGCCTGCCCCCCTGCCTGAGTGCCTTCCCTTCAGTTGTGACTATGTGGGGCCCACCCAGGTAATCCAGGGTGATCTCTCCACTTGAGAATCCTTCATTTTTGCCATGTAAACTGATGTGATCCCAGGTTCTGGACATTAGAATGTGGACATCTGTGAGGGGCTATTATTTCTGCATACCACAAAACTAACGGAAATAGTTCTTTTCATGCACCCACCTCTTTTTCTCCTCTCCAGCCTGTCATGTAAGTGATCTTTAAATAACATAAATCTGGCCATAGGGTTCTTCTCAGGAACTTCCCAATTTCCCCAAAATCCACTGTGAATAAAACCCACAGCACCCCTGCTCTCTCCTGCTCCTAGGGGTTTGCTCCAAGCATCCTCTCAGCCTGAAATGTTCCCTGCCCAAAACCAAGTGCTCTCCAATCTTCTGGTTCCTCCTGTTACACTCTAGTTGGAACCCTGCCGGACTGTGAGCTCCACGTCTGCTACCTGACAGTGCTGGGGGCCAGCCAGGCAGATCTGAGCTCAGACCTCTGCTCAGCCACAGGCTACTCATGTGACTGTGGGCAAGGTCCAGTACTTAACCTCTCTGTGCCTCTATTTTTAAAATATGCTGCTAATAAAGTAGCTACCCTATATATAGACAGCTGTTAGTGTTAAATGAGATCGTGCATGTAAATTGTTTAGTGCACTGCTTGCCACATAATACCCAATAATAGGTGGATAGCAGCAGTTATTATTAAAAATTAATAGCTGGGTGACTAAATGAATGAGACATTCCTCCTCCTGGGATGTCAGTATCCGTCTTCTAGTCGTTATTGACATGTGGATTCTTGTGCTCTTTCCGAATGAGACAGAAGCACTTTGGCTCAAGAACAAGGCTTTTATCTTATGTCCTAGCATGAGGGGGAAAGCTGTGGGGGACAGAAATCCCAGGTAGACCCAAAGGATATAGATGTACAGCTTTTATGGCATCGACAGGGTAGGGACCTGGTCTCTTGACATCGTTACATGTAGAGGTGCAATTTTAGTTGTCCCTCTTGCCTTTGCACACACACACAGGGTCTCACTAAGTAGCTCAGGCTGACCTCCAACTCACTGTGTAGCCCAGACTGGCCTTGAACTCACAGCCTCCTGCCTCAGCCTCCCAAGTGCTGGGTTATCGTACCTTTTCATGCAATGCATGTCTTATTACCATGCTAAGTCTCCACTCTGGGTGTGAGTTTTACTATTCTGAAAAGTAACTATAAGTTACTTACATGACTGCTCTACACATGGATTTGTCCTTTACCCACCTGGAATTTGTTCCTCATCATGTGGGGAGGCTCTTCACTGGACTTTAGAGAAGGGTAGATCATTCCCCCTGCCTCATTGGGCTTGATTTTAATGACTTGTGGGAGATTTCTTGGCTCTGGCTTCTTGGTCTCTCTACTGACCATACAGCCTTTGAAGGCTGAGCTGACTTCTCATCCTCCAGTCTCCCACTATGTTATCTTCACTTTATATCCTGGAAGACTACTTCACTTTTTAACACTCAGTTCTCTGGTATTTTGTTAGTTCTGTAAGAACATAGCTTAGCTGTCTAATTTCCTTACTATTCCCCAAAGCCTACAACATTTTTAGTTGAATGAGTCTCACATGTTGTGTGTTTATGTATAGTACTAGTTGCTTTCCCCCCTAATGGGTCTATTTCTGGTCAGAATCATTACAAGGATTGGTGGTGGAAGGGGAAGGCTGCTCATAGCTACATCACTTGGCTAGTGCCCTGTTCACAGAAAACTTTAATGAAGTAATCCAAGTGGATTGAAGTGAATTTTGGCTAAACTAGAAGCTTCTATCAGCGAAGCCTGGTGCCCTCAGAGGTACCAGCTGGTCATCCCCTGTCTTAATTGTAATTCTACTACTGTGTAATGTTGGCCTGGTTGCTGCATTGCTCTAGACCTCAGCTTACTTTCTAGAAAACAGGCATAACAATCCCTGCTTCACTCTGCAGCCCAAGATCAAGCAGCCATCTTGTTCGCTGTGAAAATGAGAAAGGAATGTTCACTTCTGTGAGGTAAAGTAGAAGAGACCACAGCGGCAGGGTTAATAATTCATCACTAGGATGTCGAAATAGCTGCTATGGGCCTATGAGGAAACATAACGTCTTCCTAATCCCTCTCTTGTGAAAGGTCCAAAGGGGCTGAAAGTTTCACACACCAAAAAGCTGTAGAAATCATTTCCCTGTCCAAGAGGTCATCTCTCTTGAGAAAAAAAAAAAAAAAATCTTTCTCCTCAATTAAAAAAGGTTATTTTTCTTATAAAGGTATTATCTGTATACTCTAGAATTACAGAACTTTTTTTGAAACCTAAACGCATTTAAAGAAATAGACACACCTCTTTAACCATGCTACAGAAGTCTCCAGTTGTAACCATCAAATAAAATTGGGATTTGTTGTAACTGCTACTTTGTATCCTTCTGGTGAACATTTTCTCTTGTCATTAAAGTCATACAGTGGGCAAACTACAGCATACAAACTTGTTGCAATTTACTTAACCAATCTCTTACTGTTCAACATGTATTTTTTGGTTTCGGACTTTGAGGCTGGTATAAATATGGCAACTGACTTCTACATTACACAGATCGTTACATATACACATATTCTTGATTATGTCCTTCCTTTGAATTTGTAGAAGTGGAATTGTTAGACCAAAGGCTACGTGATACACATTGTCAATTCGTTTTCTTTTTTTGTTTTTGGCAGGGTCTTTTTGTTTTGGGGGTGGGGGGAGTTGTTTGTTTGTTTTCTAGTATCGGGAATCGAACTCACGACCTTGCGTTTGCCAGGCAAGCGTTGTGCCGCTGAGCTAAATCCCCAGCTCCTTTTGGCGGGGTCTTGCTACGAGGTTCAGGCAGGCCTTAAACTCACTATGTAATTCAGGCTGGTCTCCACCGCCCAGCGATCTTCCCGCCTCCCCGAGTGCTGGGATTCAGGCGTGTGCCACCACACCTGGCGCCAATTTGTTTTCTAGGAGTGATTTTAACCATTTAACTCCCGCGGGCGATTTCACAGGATTTAAGCGGAGTTGCGGGTGTCATTAACTGTCAAGGGCCGAAGCGGAACCTCCCGCGCGGGCTCTTGTCTTCCTTCACGTTTTCCCGCCCACTCTGCACACCAGCCAGGAGCGCCACGAGCACCCCGCCCCACTCAGCATACTGGCCCCCCCCTTCCTTACTGCGTAGCTACTCTGTCCAATCATAAGTATCCTTCCTCAGTATCACTTTACGATTGGTAAATTGAAGTGTCCGTCGTGCTCAGGGGCGGGCGGAGAAAGCTGAAGGACGTGGCGACCGGCCACTCTGAGCAGCGAGTGCGGCCTGCGTAGCGTGCGTGGCACGCCGATCTAGAAGCGCTGGACCTGGGAGGTGTGCAAGGGCTGGCGGTGAGAGAGTTTGGCAGACATGGCTCCTACCGTACGGGCAGCGGAGTCCGAGTATCCTAAAGGCATCCGAGCCGTGCTGCTAGGGCCCCCCGGGGCTGGTAAGGGTACCCAGGTGAGCGTCCTGACTGCGATCTGCGGCAGAGCCCGCGGAACTCCAAGGTCAGGGCGGACGGAGATCCGGAAGTCCTTTCCGTGTCCAGGAGCAGACGGTGGGCTGAGTCTGAGGGGACCCTGGCGAGGGTCTCAGGTCCTAGTAAGGTGTTTAGAGAAGCGGGGGCGGGGAGGCGGGGCAGGGGGAGTTTGGGTTGGATTTGGAGACAGGGATGCAGGCTTGAAGAGTCTTGTTAGGGGATCTCAAGAATGTTAGGTGGACCATTAGGGCATAGAGCTTGAAAAGTGTGAGGGGTGGGATGAGCACAAAATTGGGGCTCTGGATTACAGGCTGAATGGAGGAAGAAGCTTGATGGCCCCGTTTCCCTGCGGGTTGGGAGTGAATTGTCCAGAATCAGGGTTGTGTTCCAGACACTAAGGGCAGAACTATTTGGATAATGATTAATGACGGGATGGAGGAGCATCTCTCCTACACGTGGGGCAGGGTGGGAGCTGGGGTGTGCTGCCTAATTGTACTGCCAGGAGGAGTGAAGTCTGACCTATGTGAGTCACTTAAGTCGGGATGGGAGAAAACCTAAGGCTGTCCCTGTTCATCTGAAAACTGGAGGTGGATGTGTAGATCTCCTTTGCCGCCTCTGGAGCCATACAGGTTCTGAGTCTGAACCTTTGAGTACTGCCCAAATTAAAGATCAGGAATGTGTATAGGGTCTCAGTTTCCAGTTGGAGCTGAACACCTCAAGATGATTTAAATGACTTTAGATGAGAGGGAACTTGAAATTTTAACTTCCTAAGTCAACAGGTGGCCCGCTGGGTGTGGTAGCACACACCTGTAATCCCAGCAGTCCGGAGGCCGAGGCAGGAGGATCGCTCTGAGTTTGAGGCCAGCCTGGATTACAGAGCAAGACCCTATCCCAAAAAGCGAAAGGAAGGAAGGAAGGAGGGAGGGAGGGAGGGAGGGAGGGAGCCCAGAAAAATCAGGTGGCTTTCCTGAGTTAGTAAACTTGATTTTAAATGGCCTGGAAGGAACCTCAGGAACCTTGGTCCTCCAGAGGATTGGAGTCTGAAATTGCCTTCTGCCCTGGCAGACTGCAGTTTCTCACTTGGTATCTGAGCCTTTTCCAGATCTGAGACTTAATGGGGCCACAGGTCAGGGTTTGGATTTATGATCTGAGTTAAGATTTGGAAGCCCTTAGGTTGGGTTATTCGTGGCCCCTTCCTACCTGGAAGTTAGCATTGCCTCCTAGGCCCTAGGGCTTGGGCTCTTGTTCATCATTAGGCTTTAAAGAAGGAATCCCTGAAAGTCTGGGTTCTCAGTGAACGGAGACTGCTCTGTCTCCCTTCCTAGCACTTGCCACCTGTTTCTTGGCACTTGATGGGGGTATTGGAAATGAATGGATGACACAGGTTAATGTGAGTGTTGAGAAGAAAGGAGGTCTGAAAGGCTTGGTTTATTTCTGTGACTTTGCTTTCTGCCTCTGTTACTAGGTCAGGAAGGAACATTTTCCATTTTCTCTCCATAAACTGAGCTGATTCTTCCTTGGCTCCACCAGTACCCTTTACACACAGTGATGTTGACATCACCTCTTTCCTTTTGCCACCACCCTCAGTTATTAGGTAATGTGCAGCCTAGGGACGTTTAAGACTTCGCACACTTTTGGTGTGAGTGACTAAGTGTAAACAGGGTAGCTCACATGTGTATTTTTTTTCTTTAGCTTGTATTGAAATTAATAGGTAGGAAGTTCAGTAGTTACGAAATGGACATTGTGGATAACCCATCCCAAGGCTAAGACAAGGGCTTTTTAGTCTGGCAGGCTGTATAACTTCTGATCCTCAGTGATCTCTCCTGAAAGATGAAACGTTCACAAGAATCCTGGGAGATTATGTTCTATATAGATATAAAGCATCCATACATACCTAGATAGCATCCTGGCAGAGTGGGCGCTCCATGGATATTGTCCTCCATATCTTAGTAAGCACATCTTCCCTCTCCCAACTCTTATAATTTTAGTGTAGACAGTGGTTTATTCGGAAGTCTTGAAGAAAATTATAACCTGATTGATAAGGGTGCATGGATGGTAGAAGTTGGTCAGAGAAGGTTTTGTGAAGTGGAAGATGTGATTAGAGCTAGGACTTGAGGAAAGGTAAAATTACACAAATCGTTTGACCTTTCCATAGTGAGAATAAAGGAACAATGGTGACTGTGTGAGTGGTTTTTTTTTTCTGGCTTTCTTCTGGTACCGGGAATTGAACTCATGACCTCGCCCTTGCCAGGCAGGCCCTGTGCCGCTGAGCTAAATCCCTAGCCCCCTTTGTGAGCGTTTTTATGGGGTTTGAAAAAAGTATGTAAGTCACAGGTTGTAGAGTGGCAGCCTACTGCAGCATTTAGCCTGCAGACACACCCCACACACCCAAACTTTTATTATGAGGAGGTGCCCCTCAGTACTGGTGATTGAACCCAGGGCCTTGTTGATGCTAGGCAAGCAGTGTACCATGGAGCTCCATCCCCTATCCTTTTTTAAAATTGTATTTTGAGGGAGCCAGGCGTGGTGGCACACACCTATAAATCCCAGCACTCGGAAGGCTGAGGCAGGAGGAGCGCTGTGAGTTCAAGGCTAGCAGGTGTATATAGTGAATTCAAGGCCAGCCTGAACTACATGGCGAGACCCTGTTTCAGTGAATGAATGAATGAATAAATACTTACATTAATTAATTAATTAATTTTATTTTGAAACTGGGTTGTACTGAGTTGCCCGGGCTGACTTCAAACTTGTTATCCTCCTACCTCCGCCTCCGGAGTAACTAGCATTACAGGCGTGCACCACCATGGCCAGCTTTATTGTGAAGAGGTTTGAATCCAGAAAAGAAGACTGAAGGGTATAATGAGCGCTACGAACCATCAACTGAATTGCTTTTTTGAAAAATAAGTATAATATCCCCTAAAATATTAACAATTTTTAGTAGAAGTGTTCGCATTTCCAGATATCTCTCAAAGTGATGATGATTTTTGGTTTCTTTTTTTCTCCTACAGTTTTTTGGAAGAAAGTTGTTTGTTTGTTCTGAGAGTTTTATCCCTCATTCTTGGAATTTTCAATTATATCCCTGTGAAGTATTTAACAACTTTCTCTGTTTCCTATAAGGCCTTAGTTTAGCCCATACCCTTAATGAGATTCAGGTTCAGTTTTTGTCCATTCGGAGGCACCTGCTACCTACTTGTCACTGGGGTGTCTGTAGTCATGGCTGTTCAGTGCCAAGGTCCAGTAATTCATTGTGGTTACAGAATGGTGGTGTTCCAATTCTGTCATTTCCCTGTTCATTTCTTAGTGAAATAGTTCCATAAAGAGAACCCCCCCCTCCTCTATTTGCTTACCCAGGAATATGGTTTATCTGGAAAAGGCAAGATAAGTGCTTAGTTTATCAGCTTTCAAAGTAGCAAATTTATCGTAGAGTGTTTTCAGTTGTGAAATTTCTCTAAAGATTCAGAGAAATGCCTCCAGTTTCTCTTGAGAAATCAGATCTGGTGGCAGTGGGCTCCACTCCAGTGTGACAGCAGTCACTCGCAACTCGGTGGTGGTTTTTTGTTTTTTTTTTTTTTGTCTTTTCTTATCTTTTCTTCCGGTACCAGGAATCGAACTCACGACCTTGCGCTTGCCAGGCAGGCGCTTTGCCGCTGAGCTAAATCCCCAGCCCCTAGTGGTGGTGTTGAGATGGCTCAGGTGCTCTCCTGTCCCCAGCACAGTCCCCTTTGCTACCTGTGGCTTACCTTAGACTCATCATGCATGTCTATCATCTGCCTGGCGCACGGTGGCAGCTGTTTGCAATCTAAGGTGAACCCATAACCTAGAATTTGTGCCTAGCACCTTCTTAGTAATATTTGTTTTCTTCCCACTACCACTTCCTGTATGTTATGTTTTATGTTGGCATAACTGAAATAATGTTTTCTTTGAAAACGCCCCACTTTACAGTAGCTATTGGAAAGCTGCCTGCTTTTGTGCCATGTGATATTTTAAAACATCATAGAATGTTCTGGATTGTTATTTTATTTAAATAACTTTCTCTCTCCCTTCTGAAGTTGGATATTCCTGCAATGTGACCAAAACCAAGTGTTCCTTGTTTTTTCTATCAGCCATTCCTCATGTCTAGTGTGTCCAGCTTGCACCAGTTCTTTGAGGCCTTATACACTTAGGTAGTCAGTTGCTAACTCACAAGTTAGATTTGTCAGTTACATCAGTGCAGATACCCAGGACTTTGTAAGACTTTTCACACCTCTCTCTCCCTCTCTCCTTCTCTCCCTCTCTCCCTCTCTTTCTCTCTCATAATGAGTATTAAACCCAGGGCTTTATCTCTTTCCCCAATAGATTCTTCTCCTATCCTTTGCCACAGTTGTCATCCTTTGCTTAGTTATTTGACACACTTCCAACTAAAAACTTTATGTTTCATTTGATTTAATTTTGCAACCCTAGGAGGTAGGTCCTGTTGTTATCCACACTTTTTACTGGTGAGAAACTAAGGCCCAGAGACAATATCCTGCCCCAGGGCACAGATATAGTAAGTAGCAGACAGGATTTAAACTAGTGTCTACTGATTCTTGAGCAGAGTCATCATTTTTATGCATACATGCTAGTAGACGGTGCCATGTGAGAAGCGTCCGATGAATTGAGGTGCAACACAAGAACTATAATTTGTTGAAGGTCTCACATTCGTCCTCACATCCACCCAGTGAAGTTAGTGATGATAACCCCAAGAAGAAGCAGAACTGAAATCCAGACACTTCCTGTGATTTTTTTGAAGTTGTAAATCAAAGTATAATATACATAGAAAAAGGTGCAAATATCATAACCACGCTTGATGAGTTTTTATGACGTGAACACACTTGCGTGGCTTACACCCATTATCAGGATGCAGAATGTTGCCAGCACACTGAAATCTTCCTGTGGCCACTCCCAAAGGCACAGCCACTAAAGTTCTGCAGGTTGTTTATTTTAAGGCGATGGGTAACTTAGCCTCTGAATTACATCTATAAAATGCAGGTTAAAAAGAGTTCTTAGCCCATGGATTTACTATGTATTGTACGTATGAAGTGCTGTAAAACAGCACATGGAAATTTGCTTGGCATATCGCACATGTTCATTTTTCACTGATGTTGCTATGATTCCCCAGAGGAAGAAGTAGCTGGAAAGGTTTATTGATGAGAGAAGAGGGGGCTGGGGATTTAGCTCAGCGGCAAAGTGCCTGCCTGGCAAGCGCAAGGTCGTGAGTTCGGTTCCCGGTACCGGAGAAAAACCAAAAAAAATAAAAATAAAAAAAAAAGATGAGAGAAGAGGACTCGGGATTTGACTACAGAGCAGGTAGAACTGAGGCCAGTAGAGGAAAGGGAGAGAGCATTCTTGTGCAGAGAGGAGCTTGAGCTGAGGTTTTACACTGTGCTTTTGGGAACCATGGGTCAGAGACACTTGCCTGGAACGGTGCACTGGGTACATGTAGGGCCCTTGTCAAAGTAAATTTCAAGAGTTTGGGAGAGATGGGAAGTTGATTTTAGAGATCACTGAGTGCCAGGCTCAGTGGTAATACGTTGACATCTGGAAAGCTGCTGAATATGTGCACTGGGGTTAGGTGGCGTGCCCAGCAGTGTTTTAGCTATGTTTCTAGCTGCATATGCAGGGCATTCAAGGTAGTCGGAAAGACAAGAGGCAGGAAGACGGTTGTGAGCTAAGAAAGCAGGTGAGTTTAGAGGCCTGATTGTTTCTCTCTGTTTCCTAGTGCCAGCCAAAGCTGGCACTAGGAAAAGTTTTTACATACATGATCTTATTAAATCCCCACAATAATTCTTTTGTAACATGAATAAAGAAACCGAGGTCTCAGAAGGTTATGAATATGTTCAAGATAAAACGAGGATACGTGGTAGAATCTGGATTCCAACCCAAGGTGTACACCACTGTGAGATCCAGCCTCTTGCCTCTGCCACAGGGCCTCATAAACTGCGTCAGAATCCCAAAGCAGGGCTGCGGGTGTCGGTCAGTGGTGAAGTATTTACCTAATGTGCATGAGGCCCTGAGCTCCATCTTCAACCCTGCAAAACAGAGTCCCAGAGCACTGCCTTAGCCCGGCACACTGGTGATCACCTGTAACCCCAGATTGAGGTGGGGGACTTACGACTTTGAGGCCATGCTAGGCAACATAATGAGACCCCCATCTCAAGGGGAGAAAATCACTAGCTGAGAATTTTTAAGGGTAGCATAGGCCTAGCATTTGTATTTTCAATAAGTACCTCAGATGATTATAATACCAAAGATATTCCTTGACTTATTATGGGGTTACATCCCGATAAACGCATCTTAAATCGTAAATTGAAAATGCAGGGGCTGGGGATTTAGCTCAGTGGCAAAGCGCCTGCCTGGCAAGTGCAAGGTCGTGAGTTCGGTTCCCGGTACCGGAGAAAAACCCCCACCAAAAAAAAAAAGAAAAGAAAATGCATTTAATACGTCTGACCTACCAAACTCAGCTCATCCACACAGCGCTGTCCAGTATTAGTTGTTTTCCCTCATAATTTCATAGCTGAGTGGGAACTGCAGCTCCAGCTTCTGCCCAGGATCATAAAAGAATATTGTACCCCATCTGGCTAGCCTGGGGAAAGGATCACAATTCAAAGGACACATCTCTTTAAAACCATCACAATTTAAAAATTGTAAGCTGAACTACTATAAGTTGGGGTCCATTTGAACACTGAAGATTGAGAACACCAGGCCCCGCCATGCTGCTTGTGATGGTTTTAGCCTTTCCCATCCACTCCCCCAAAAAAGCCCTCCCCCTTGGCAGGATTCTCACAGAGATGATGGACCTAGTCCTTGAGCTCAGCAACAGTTCACAGCCGGCAGCAGAGTGTAATTGTGTAGCCAGCCACCCGTCAAGGCCTAAACGTTTGCTTAAAATTCAGCATGTGGTTGGCCCCTGCCCTTTCTAATCAGAATCTGCATGTTAACCCCCAAGCAATGTACAGTCCTAGATGCTGCCCTGAAGCATAGGTTTGAAGAGTGATGGAACTATAATAACATTTCATCAGGCTTCAGCAGTCTGCAAGTAAAGAGAAATGCCCAAAAAAAGACCACAGAAAATCTTATTTTTTGAATGCCTACTGTGCATCTGATTTCAGTACTTTATTTCATTTATCCTGTTAAGGGCCCTGTGATGTAGCCATTATCAAAATTTGACTGATGAGGAAACTAACTCAGAAGTTAAGCAACTAACTCAGTGTCATGTAGCTGCTAAGTAGCTTAGACAGGGTTTAAACCCATCCGTGTTCTTTACACCGTAGCCCAGGGGCTTCCATGCAGCCCGCAGGAAATGGAGGAAGTGGGCTGTCATATACCATATTCCTCTTGGTATGTGTTTTTACACAGCTGTAGAATCCACTCACCGTGAATGGTGTGTGTAAGTCGTGCAGGTGGGGAGTGATGAAAATAGAACTGTCAGCCTGTGTGCCAACAGCTCTTCTCCTTGGTGTTTTGGTCGCCTTTCCCATGAGCAAACCTGATCTCCACATTGTTCACCCAAGTTAACTCCAGCAACCAAGCAGAGAAGGTACGGGTGTGCCACAGTGCCAGCCTGGTTTTCCATTGCCAGAGGTCTTGATCTTCATTGTTTTTCAAAGTGCAGAGTTTATGTTGGGGTTTTTTTTGGTGATTTTTTTTTGTTTTTTGTTTTTTGTTTTTTGCAATAGCATGGATGGAACCCAGAGCTTCACACCCCAAGCTCTCTACCACTAAACTGTATGCCAGCCCTTTTTATATTTTTGTTTTGGGATAGGATCTTGCTAAGTTGCCTGGGCTGGCCTCAAATTTGTGATCCTCCTGCCTCAGCTTCCCAGGTAGCTGGGATTATAAACATATGCCACCACACCCAACCCAAAGTATAGTTTTTAATGCCTTCCCATCTGGGTTCCATTTTGCTAAGAAGTAATTTCTCTGTTTGAATTGAATCAGTCCATGAATCATAAACCAGGATTTCCTCCATTGAGCCCCAGCTATTTACTTTTATTGTGTGCATTTAAGAAAACTCCCAATAAAATGGTTTAAACGGCTACCCAAACCACTTCCTTTCTAAAACAGCTGAACCAGAAAACTAAGTATTAAGCTCTTTGAAACAGTTCAATTTCCTATGAATTGTGCATTCTTTTTTGCCATATAAAACCAATGTTGAACTGTCTTAAGATCTCTTTCTCTTCTGATTATGCCTTTTGATTTGTAACCTGCCAAGCTGTGAGCTCTTTGAGGACATAATCTGTGTTTCCTCTTCCTCCACGTCCTTGGCCCCATGGGTTCTCGGAAGAGGCATGAGCAAATATTTCTTTACTATATAAATGAACATGGAACTAGGGCTAGCATTACAGTAACAGCCAATGCTCACTAAGGATTCATGCGTGCCTCGCATATGCCACAGTCTATAGATTCTTCATCAACCCCGTGATATAGTATAGCGCCATCTCCATTTATTTAGAGGAAATTTGAAAACTGGAAAGGTAAAATAACTTCACAAGTCATATGTGTAGTAACGATGGGACTGGAGTCTGAAACCCAGGCAGTTTGACCTCCAGCACATGCTCTTAACAGAATGGCTATACTGTCACCTAACATTAATACATAGGTGCTTATTATTTGTTAAATGCTCCGCTTATACATCTCATCTAAGCCTCACAGCCATCTCAGACATGCAGCCTTTGGCCAGTATCATGCAGCAGCCTAATGAGAAGGAAGGGAAGGAACCCAGTTCTTCCCCCGCCCCCAGCTGCCAGGACCAGTGGCTGCAGTAGGTGATGCATCTGTTCTTTTGGCAAATACTCATTCAGCGCATTGTGTGCCAGGCATTGTACCGTGTGCTTTATACATATGATCTTATTTAAACTTCACAGCAAATTTGTAGTGTTGATAATACTCCTTTTTTTCTTTCTTGTTTATAATAAGGAAACTGAGGTGTCTGTGTCATTAGTGTGGCCAGTGGAAGTAGTAATGATAGCTAATATTTATGATGGCTTCTGTGTACTGGGTATTCTCTTGTAAGTGCAGTATTGTACATGTATTATCTCATATAATTTTTACCATAATCCTACAGTCATTTTGCATGATGTAAAATGACTGTAGGATTATGGTAAAAATTATCCCTGTTATGGTAAATTTGTCCATTACAGGGAAATCAGGAGGCATTTGCCTGAGTTGACATAACCAGCAAGTGTCAGGACCAGGTTCATGCCCAGGCAGTCTGATTCAAGGGCCCGCAGTGTTAACTCTACCTTCCTTTTTGTCTTCTTCCGTAGGCACCCAGGCTAGCTGAAAACTTCTGTGTCTGCCATTTGGCCACTGGGGACATGCTGAGGGCCATGGTAGCTTCTGGCTCAGAGCTGGGAAAAAAGCTGAAGGCAACTATGGACGCTGGGAAACTGGTAAGACAGATCACACCAGGGGGTGCTGACACTCCTCAGAGTCTGCACTTAACTGTCCAATATGGCAGCCACCAGTCCGCATGTGCCTGTTTAGATTAATTTGAAATTCACGTCTTCTGATCTGTAGCTGATACCAGAAGCTCCTTGTTTCTGTCTCGAGCAATTGGCATATTCTGCATCCCTGGAACACAGCAGAGCTCTAACGCATGGAAAAAATAATGTGGACGTACAATAAAATTTAGTGTCTCCATTGCGTGAGCTATGTTTTAAGTGTTCTACCAATAAAAATACAGAACATCTCATCTCCATCATCATAAAAAGTTCTGTGAGACAGCCCTGTGCTAAAAGGTGTTTTAGAAACTAGCAGATTAATGAGCTTTTATAGTAACAAGTTATTTGGTTTGTTCTGAATTTCTGACAATTTATGCAGTGTCCTTAAGTTTCTTTGATGTTAATGCCTTTTAAAATGTACCCCAATTTTAGGGTCAAAAATACAGCTGCCATCCCTAGGCCAAAAATCAGGGATGTATTCAAAAAAAGACTCAGAAAAAAAAAAAAGAAAAGACTCAGAAAGTCACAAAATGTGTTTTATTTTTGATGGGTCAGTATACTGTGTCTTTAACAAGGTAATTACTTGGCAGTTGTACCAAAGTAACCATCCTACTTGGGAGACATAATAGTATTTTCTGTTGCTTTTAGACTAATTGGTTTGATTAGACAAGTATATTATCTATTAAATCTTTGATTTGTGCCAGAGCTTAATTATTCTGGAACTTGACCTCTGGGAATCACTTTCGGAAATTATTTTGTGTTTCGTCCCCTTCTCTTTTTGTATGTGAGAATATTGGTCGGGGAAGGTATAAACTTTGCTTTCATCCCCACGTTACCTCCTGTTAGGCTCTGAGATTGTGTAGCTACATTGAACGGAACCACTCACCTGCTCATTTCTTTCAGGCTTTCCTTTCATGTTAGTGACGCCTTGAGTCAAGCCAAAAAAAATTAGATATTTTGAGTCTTGGGAGGAAAAAATGGGGTATGACAATGATACTGCGAATCTCCAGCCACTTAGTCTCAAGCTGATACCTTGAGGTTCATAGCTGGTCCTGAAAGATAAAAGCATTAGCTGCCAAGGTGGGCAGCTTTTACTATAATATAGGGTGGGAAGACATCTTAAATACTAGGAGAGGTCCTCACTGGGCCTTTTTTTGTTGTTGTTGTTGTTTTTTGTTTTTTTTCTGGTACCGGGAATTGAACTCATGACCTTGCGCTTGCCAGGCAGGTGCTGTGCCGCTGAGCTAAATCCCCAGCCCCAGGCTTTTTTTTTTTTTTAAGACAGGGTCTCACTTTGTAGTTCAGGCTGACCTCCAACTCACTGCGATCCTTCTGCCTCCCAAGTGCTGGGATTGTACATGTGTGCCACCATGCATGGCCATCACTGGGCTTTTTTAAGAGTCTCAGAGTTATATTAGGTTGGTTCTTTGGTTCCTTGTTTCTGACCCACTCTTGCCAATTCAGTAAGCTTCTCTGTTTCTTCATGTCCAGAATGGCCCAGATACATAACCAAGTACCCGTCTCAGTCTTGATTCTGTTAGCCTAATCAAAATCATGAAACAGGAGTAGTCTGTGCCTTCCTGCGTCCTGGTCAACCCCCATTCTCTCTTGGTTTTCCCCAGGTGGTCTCTCAGCCCTGTGCCCTCACCTTTCTTTTGCCTTGAAGACAGCTGATTGCCGATAAGCTGTTGTCTGATATTTAGGACTCTGGCTCTAGGGACGAGAGAGGCCTTTCGGACCTAAGACATGGAGCTGTCCTGGTGGAGTGACAGGCTGTGGAATCCCTGTCTCACCCAGAAAAATTTCAAGGGAAGAGAATATGTATCTGACAGCTACCGTACAAAAGTAGTTATGAAACTGTGTCTTGCAAATGGAGCCACGCCATATTTGCTCTTTTATCCTTCTTTGGGATCTGAAAGACTTGGCATTTAGCGATCGAGTTGTACACGCCCAAACACTTGACCTTGGAGTTGGGCTAATGTCACCTAGTTAACATTTAAACATAGGTTGTTCTGTTCTTAACTTCCAGGTGAGTGATGAAATGGTAGTGGAGCTCATTGAGAAGAATTTGGAGACCCCTTCCTGCAAAAATGGCTTCCTTCTAGATGGCTTCCCTCGGACCGTGAGGCAGGCGGAAATGGTGGGTAGTTGAGTATTTGTATCACCATTGCATGTACACGAGCTCTGGCCCTTTATCTCTTAAATCTTTGAAAGAGATGGGTCCGGTCAAGCTCTGGCTCACACACTTTTTTACAGCTCGATGACCTCATGAAGAAGAGGAAAGAGAAACTTGATTCTGTGATTGAGTTCCGCATCCCAGACTCCCTGCTAATCCGGAGAATCACTGGAAGGTATTTGTCCCTCGAAGGTCCCATCTTTTCATGCTTCCTCTGGGCTGTGTCAGATTGTGAGAATTGCTCTTGCATAATCCCAGATGTAAAGGGAATTGCTGTTTCAAAATGGATTGGTCTCATTTGCTGACATCCACTGAACAAGTGACCTGAGATGTAGATAGAGAAAGAATAAGGATTTGAGGTCAGATAGTCTCAGATAGAAATCTTTGATCCTCGGCATATTTCTTAAGCTATCTAAGGTTGTTCCCTCGTTTGTAGAAATGGGCTAGAAGTATTTGGCTTGAAGTGCCTGTTAGATACCCTAAAATACATAATTCAAAGCTTTGATTATAATAGATGCTTAAGAAATGTTATATTCCTAGGCGGGGGATGTAGCTCAGCAGTACAGCACCTGCCTGGCACATGCGAGGCCCTGGGTTCAATTCCCATACCAAGGAAAAAAGAAAGTTATAACTAATAGTCATGTACTTTTTTTTTTTTTGTACCGAAAATCAAACTCATACCTTGAGCTTGCCAGGCAGGCACTTATGCCACTGAGCTATATCCCCGGCCTGATACAACTAACATGGATATCTCTAGTTTAGTGCTTTTTTTCTAAACTTGATTTCAGTTAGAATTCTATACTTTGCTGTAGGCTTTTTATTAGTTCTAAAAATAATACAGCCATCTACATAGAGTTTGGAAAATTTTGTTCAGAGTCCAGCTACTTTATCACTTGGGGCTGTGTTTTGTCGTAACGTGTTTGTTTCTCTGTAATAGTCAGTGTCGAGCACAGAAATGCTTCTACTTCTGAACCAGTTTTTACTGAAAAGCAGCTGCTGCTTTAGGCTGCAGTTTCCTCTACCCTATTTTACCAGTTGCTCTGCCACCTGCTTCATGCCTTCCAGAAATACGATGGACGCTGTCAGCCTACTGGACACTCTGTTCTTTTCTTTATTGTGGGTTGTAGCTTTTTTATGACACTGTCATTTCTTAATGAAGCCTCAGGAAAATGGTCAGCACACTATCTCAAACCAGACATCCATGAGCATTATTTTTCATTGTTGTATGACATTTCCCAATAGTGGGTAAACCATTCTTTCCTTAAGTATTCCCTTATTGTTGCACATTTGTGCTTTATCTAGTCAGTCACTGTTAAACTAATACTACGACCATTATAGAGCACGTAAATTTGTGTGTTTTGTTTTGCTTTGCTTTGCCTTTTTGTTGTTTGTTTGTGGTGTTGGGGATTAAACCCATGGCCTTCACACTGAGCTACATCCCAACCCTTTTTTTTATTTTGAGACAGGATCTTGCTAAATTGCCCAGCCTGAGCTCAAACTTGTAATCCTCTTACCTCAGCCACCCAGAGTGCTGGGATTATAGGCGAGTGTGACTATGCCCCCCTTAATTTTTTAATTTAGCTAGATGTTTCCTAGACTGTTATTTTGATTTCCTGATAGGGTTGAGCTTTTTTGCATCGTGTCTGTTATCCATCCCGTCAAGGGTCAAGGCGGACGTGTGTATGGCAGAGCGAGTGGGGGAGCTATTACTCTGGAAGGCTGTGTGAAATGCAGTCAGATCTACTTTGTATTACTTTCTTTTCAAATGTTCAAGTTTCGTATTCCTAGCTATTCTGTAGTTCCCTACATTCGTGTTCCCACAGTACAAGGGCTTTTGTTTCTTTCTATCCTCATTGGGCACAGAGTAGGTATAAAATTGATGCAGGCCCAGAAGTGGTAGGGCTGACATATCACCAGGTGGGGGGTCTCTGAGGCACAAAGCAAATATTAACAGAATCAGAGGACACCAGACACCTTAGATTTGATGAGTCGACCTTCTGGAGTAGCTGCTTCCTGTGTAGCACACTGGCCCCAGGGGCAAAAGACCAAGAGAGCTCTGGAAGAGCAGTACAGTGATGCCCGTCTATGGCAACGGGTCATGTATGAAGTCTGGGCTGTACTGACCATTTGGTGCAATAAGAAGCAAGAAGTTCAAGAAGAGCCTGGGAGAGGGAAGGAGGCTTCCTAGGAAAAACTAACACTGACTAAGCCTTCCTGGATGAAGAGAATTTCAGTGGGGCTTTCCCTGAAGGGAGTCAAAGCAGAAATGAGGTGGGGCTAGTAGAAGACGTGTCTGCCCAGGTTTGGAGGAGTGCTCTTGGGGCCGAAGGGCAGGATGAGGGGAAGAGAAGTAGGAACTCAGCAGGAAGTCTGCCAGGCTGCAGAGGATAGACTTGACGGAGTTCAAGGGTCGAGGGATGTGCTCCAGCCACTGGGTAGTAAGGCAAACAGCATTCTGAGGCCATTAGCTTGGTGCGGGCATAAAAGCGGAATTGAAGAGAGGAAAAGCAGATAAGGACCCCATCCGGGGGTCTGCTTGTGATCCATAAGAAGTGACAGAGGCTTCTGACTGTTCGGGTACTAAAGGAAACGGAGATTCTGGAAGACATACTGCAGGGTTATGGTAGAGGGTGGAAGGGGAGAGCTCAGTCCCTCGCCTGGAAGTGAAACGCCCTCCCTCGAAGAAAAGGGCCTGCTTCCTCACAGAGCATTCCGGACTGGTAAAGGTCCTTTTCCAGGTTCACCTGACGTGCAGGGCAGGGCTAGCCCCAGATACTTGCTTCCTGCCTCTTTGTCTGCTGTGCTGACTGCAGAAAGCAGGACAGGAGGCTGGTACCACTCAGTTTAATGTGGGTCTTAAGTCGAGGTAATAAGAGCCTCACATAACAACAGTCTTCTGAGTTTGCTGTGACCTTCTAATGATTTTGAGCCTTTGTGTGTTTGTTTGTTTTTTGGGTTTTTTTTGAGACAAAGTCTCACCATGTAGCCCAGGCTGGCCTTGAACTCATGGCGATCCTCCTGCCTCAGCCCCCTGAGTGCTAGGATTACAGGCATGAGCTACCCTACCCAGCCTTATTTTGTTTCTTTATAACATTATAGTTGGTTATTTGGTTTTTTACCTGTTCAGTATTGGCTTTCTAGTATCCTCACCATCCGGTCCATTGGCGCTCTGGTGTCATTGTCCTGATGTATAGTACCGTCTCCACTTTGTGGGTGAGAAAACAAGAGTCTAAAGTATTGCGCTACTTTCAGTCCCAACCACTCCCTGCCTTTGCCTCCACCTCTAAGCCAGGCCCAGCAGTTATGGAACTGTTTTGGTTGGTACTTAGCAACCGCATTCTGAGAATTTGAAGATTAGGCTTTCTTTCATTTACCTTCTAGGGAATAAGCCTTGCATTCCTCTTAAGAATTATATTTGTGAATGTGGGAAGAACAGTGTTATGTGCAGTTGGGGCTGAGGGAGCCTGGGAATTCGTGAGCATAGAGGTGTGGGTAGTGTAGAGACGGCAGCATAGAGATGGCAGCCTGGCTGCTGTGTGCCTTACGTTCTTCAGAAGATGAAGAAATTCCATCAGTCAGGCTGGGTTCAGTGGCTCACAGCTGTAATTCCAGCTACTTGGGAGGCTGAGGCAGGAAGAAAATGAGTTTAAGACCAGCCTGGGTCACATAGCAAGATCCCATCTCCAAAAGAAAAGAAAACAGAGCTAATTTCTCTGTCTTTCCTTCCTCGTGGCACTTCGCATAAACCTTTGTTAAAGGATTATCACCCTTGCTGTAGCTGTCTGTCCCCACAGTTGTCTCCTGTAGTGAGCACTGCTTGTGCACGGAGATCTCAAATTGCTGCTTCCTGCCCGCAAGTTTGGCTTAAGGCCCCAATCAAACTAGACGCTTAGGAGTGTTTGCTGAATAGAATTGGGGACCAGCATTAGCATTCTCCCCTCAAGTTCTGAATTAGGTAGTTGTGTAGAGGTCGCTTAGCTCTTCAGGCCCTTATTATAATATTGGATTGACATTTTTAAAACTCCTCTGCTGTTGGCATAAGCCTAGTCATTTTCCTAAGCAAGACCAGTTATTTTCCTGAGCGAGGCGCGTCTGTAGCTGGGTAAAAGTCCTTATGTCCAGCGTCTGCCTCTGCTTGCCAGTCTGAAGTGCGGGAGATACTTTGCAGCAACCTGACTCATGCCTTTGCTGTCTTTCAGGCTGATTCACCCCAAGAGTGGCCGATCGTACCACGAGGAGTTCAACCCCCCGAAGGAGCCCATGAAAGACGATGTATGTGAGCTGAGGGCAGGAGATTTTCATTCTCCCCCTTTCTGCCTTGGTTCTTTTTTCCTTTCTCTGTTCTCTGTCCTTTCCATCTTCCTTTTTACCAATATTACTGACCTGACCATGGAGAATAGTGCTGTCAAGTAAGCCAGGAGGCCTATGACAGAGCTATACATCGTCTCCCCAGGTAGCTCACTGCTTGATCTCAGAGCAGCGGCCGGTGTGAGCTCTTTCCCAGTGTGCAGATTGTGAGGAGGACAGCCCCTGTCTGGCATCTCCTAAAAGGAAAAAGTTGCTGGGAAGCTCAGAATTAGCGGAGAGGTAGAACTGAAGAGAAGTTTGCTCAGCAGCCCTGCTCCAGAATGTCCTGCTGCCTTCTGTGCTGTACTGTGGGATCTTGTACGTGGTCACTGTGCCATGTACTTTAAGAGAGTCCTGATGGTGTGTTTTAGAGCATGGAGGCAACAGTGAGAATTTCTTGGGTTTGCCTTTGTCCTGTGAGACAAGTTCATCAGGCTTTCCAAGTTCTGTAAATACAGATTCCAAAGCCATTGTATCAACTTAGTCGCACTTCACAAGTTGATAATTCCTACCATTCAGATTCCTTCTCATTCCACTTGCCACCTGGTCGGTGACACCGCAGTATGGTGATAAATATTTAGGCCACTAAGATTACGGTTATTGTGCCAGCCATGGTGGTGCCCAACCGTAATCCCAGCTGCCTGAAGGCTGAGGCAGGAGGATCCGGAGTACAAGGCCAGCCTGGGCTACATAGCAAGACCTTTTCTTTAAACAAAAAGATTACAGTTGCTAGTGCGTCTCTGCTTTGGGTATGTTCTGTTGGTCTCAGGGTCCTACCTCTTCCTTGCTCCTGACCTTAGACGTGTTCATCGTGGGAGCTGAGCATCCCGAGCGCAGAGGCGTGAGAGAAAGGCGTTGCCAATTTTCCTTTCAAGCGCGTTATGGTTGCTGTGTCCCACGGTCTCCCTGGCGGAGCAGCTAGTGTGCTTCTAAGAGTAGCCACGTTCCTTATCGGCAAGGGTCCACATTTTCTGTTTTTGCTTCTGATAGGCCGTGGGCTCAAACAGCAACCTAGGCAGAGGAGTTCCATCTCAGACCTGTGTCCGCATAAGTAATGAAACCTTACAAATAGTTCCAGCCTTTCATTCTCCTTTTTCTCAGATCACGGGAGATCCCTTGATCCGTCGATCGGATGATAACGAGAAAGCCTTGAAGATCCGCCTGGAGGCCTACCACACTCAGACCATCCCGCTCGTGGACTACTACCAGAAACGAGGAATCCACTCTGCCATCGACGCCTCCCAGACCCCTGATGTCGTGTTTGCAAGCATCCTAGCAGCCTTCTCCAAAGCCACATGTAAAGACTTGGTTATGTTTATCTAATGTTAGGGTCAAAAAGGAATCTTTCTTATTCTTACCCTTGTTAAGAGGACGGGTGGGAAAGGCAGGGCAGGTAGAGAGACGCTTCCTTCCTCAGGCTAGCAAGAAGATCCTCGGCTGTATTGATTAAAAAGCTTTTGCTTGATGCATCTTTGGTATGTATGCCACTCTCATCTCATCTGTGTGTGTATGGACAAGCCACTCTCCTGCTTTCTGAGTTCAGGGCTAGGTTGCCTTACCAATATTATATTTGTTTGTTTGTTTTAATTTTTGTTTTTCGAGGCAAGATTTTGGTCTTGCTAGGTAGTTCAGGCTGGGTTTGAACTCACTATGTAATCCAGGCTGGCTTCAAACGCACAGCAATCCTCCTGTTTCAGCCTCCTGAGTGCTGGGATTATAGGCATACGCCAGCACATCCAGCTGCTTTATCAATTGTTTACCTTTTTAGCCACACTTTTAATTTTTGACCAAAATAAACTACCCTGGTATGTGTTAGACACCCTAGTTCCAAAGCCTCATAGTACTTACCCCATCTCCAGCAGCTGATTAAAAGTCTCAAGGTCACGTGAAATCAGGCAGTCACAGTTCCTGATGCGGATTGTTGGCAGGGGATTTTACTTTTTTTCAGTTTACAATGAAAAGCCACATGAGTCAGTGTGTAGACAGGGGTCATTAATTTTTTCATCCCTAAATGGAAGAAAAAGACATTTTTATTACAGATTCCAGAAATTGCTGGTAGCTAGCTTGGAATTTTTTTTTTTTTTTTTTTTGACTTGGAATATTTTTTGTAATCTGCATCATGGTGCTATAAAATAGAAATCATTTGGGATTTGAATTGTCGCCAAAGAATTAAAGTAAGTAAAGATCCTCTGGAATTCAGATTGTCTTCTGAACGTCCAGGCTGGGCTGGGTGTCTGGGAGCAGCCAAACCCCCTTCCCCAAAGAGAGACCAGGGAGGGGTTGGTTGCTTTTATTTTTAACGTTCACTTTTGTTTCTACGTGTAAACAAAACAGTGATTTGGGGGTGATCTATTCTTGGATTCATTTTGGTCAAAATTTATTCAAACCCAATCTTTCCAGGTTATAAAACTCAAGTCAGTTATATCCTCTTTAAACCCAAACCCTCTTCCTCCCAGATCGTTTTTTTGTTTTGTTTTGTTTTATTTTTTCCAGATCCAGTTTTCTACCCCTTCTTTCATGATAGTGATAGCCACAGACTCCCCAAGAAAAGATCACCCAAAAATAGATCATCTATGATAGTAACCGGCTTTTATTTGTAACCTTAGCTTCCCAGCTATTAAGCATTTTCTAGGGTCCATGCTGTGCTTTTCGGTCTCTGGTTTGATTTGTGGCAAACAGATGAATTAATAGGCTGCTGTGAAGAGGCCACAAAACCTTCTGCTCTGGAAAAACCATTAGAAAGTCAGTGGAACGTCTAATAAGTAACGCCGCCTGCCTCAGCATAAACCTACCACTCGCTTGGTGCAGTGGATTTTAAAGTGCCCGGTCCTCATCTGACCTGAGTTTTCCCGCTGCCTGTGAGACTGCCAGAGGGCCTGTCCTCTGTCCATATGGAAGCTGAGTGGGTGTGTGGCCATCTTGCTTCCTTCTTCACCTTGTCCGAGTGAGTGAGTGCTGCCCCTGGTCTGCCTCGTTCCCCTGGCTCTCAACTAGCTCCCCCCACTCTTCTCAGAAAGGAAGTCTGGTTTTGTGTGTTTCTGGGAAGCACATGACTTGTAGGAATGGGCAGGGGAAAAGAGTGAAACCAAAACTTAGCAGCTGTGCCTGTCGGACTCTGGCATCCTTCCGTAGATGAGGATGGCCTTGTGAACCTTGGAATAAGCTCCCCTTTTGGGGGATAGTTGCAGGCACTTGACCTCAAAGTTAAAGCTCCTCAGTATTTGGTCATTAAATGTGCACTATCCTTGCCCCAGTATCTGCCATCTGTCCACATACACTCACATGTGCATGTGATATTTGGGTTGCAGGTGAGAACTAGAAGATCTTGGAGGATACATATGCTCTACTGAGGTTGGTTAGGATTACATTTTTGCTTCGTTTAATTGCAAAATGTTAACCTCAGCAGGCACGAGAGCTTTCACCTGGTAGAGAAACAGCCGGTATTTAATGCATTTGGTTGCTGGGGCATGCATGCCAGCCTTCTCTGGTATTTACTTGGTTTTTAAAAGCACGTTTTGTTCTCTCTTGTTTCCTGTTTCAGCCTAGTAACAGAAGGCCAGGCGAGATTGCATCGCTGCTCATCACCCCGCGGCGTGATCCCTGCTGTTAGGTGCTGGGCAGAGGGGAAGGGGCACCCTGGGAAGGATGGAGAGGGGGGCTGGTGAGGGGCTCAAGAGGAGGATTTGGAAGAGCGGCAGAGTTGTAATGAGCTGGGGTTTTTTTTTTAAACACATAAGTGGGAGTTTCAAAGTATAAGCTAAGGAGATTTTTTTGAAAAAAAAACAAAGCTGATTAGAGGGTGTGGGTACAAACAAGGAGATACAGTATTACTTCTGAGCAATTGGGTTTGCATTTATTCTGGACTGGTAACAGTATTTATTTAAAGCCAGTCCTGTTTTTAAAGACCTCAACTCGTATCTCAGAATCTCATGGAGTACCAGGCCAAAAATGCAGGCAATGGAACTGTGGTGCTGTCTGTCTTATAGCTTGGAATAGGGAGTGTTTGTGGATCTTGGTTCCCCACACAGATCAAAACATCATCTCCACATCTGAAAGAGTTAAGGGTGAATTCTCAGGGGTGCTGGCTCAGTAGATCATTCACTGGAGTCGTGAGGGGGCGGCGAGACGAGCTGAACCCCCTTCCCTGACCTACCTCCGACTCCCCAGCCCACCCGCCCTCAAAGCTGAGCTCTTAGAGCCACCCGGCACACGCCACAGTCCTGCGGCCTTGACTTGTTTCATGCAGGGTGTGTGAAGGGACCCTTTCAAATAAACGAGTAAGGGCTGGGGACATGGCTTAGTGGTTCAGCACTTACCTACCATGTGCAAGGCCCTGGATTTGGTCCTCAGCACCACAAAAAAATTAATAAAGATAAATGAGCAAGTGTCCTAAGCCATATCCTCCAGAACATTGTGCTTCCCACCCTCAAATCCTGTGACTGGAATCATTGGACAGAGTTTTTGATATATTTTCAATGAGGTGCCTTTCTGAACTCACCAAATGCTGCCTTATTTGGCCCCTAAATCAATAAAATATATTAAAAATTTGTATCCCCTGTTGTGGCTGGTTTTTTTTTTGGTAGGAATCTGTGTTAGAAAATTTACGTTGAATTCTAGATCCAAGCAGCCGTGTGGCAGGGAGATCCAAAAATGCGTCCCGAAGATGAGCCTGCGCCCTCGCAACCAGCAGCTCTCGTGCAGGCTTCTCTTGGGCCCAGAGGCGGGGCACTGTCCAGTCTAGGGAAGCTAGCACTGTGCTTGGAATTCGGGGAGCAGGGGACAAGTCCCAGCCAAGGAGTCATCCGCTCTGCTCACGTCTCCGAAATCTGAATAAAGCCGATGCTGCCACCTTCTCAGACTTACTGGCATTAGATGGAGTTTGTAAGGAAAAGCTCTTGGCCTGGGGCCTCGCACATAATAGACATTAGGTAAATGTTAGTTGGATCAGGGCAGTCACAAAAAGAATACCTGCGTCCTGCTGGGCTTGATGGACATCTGTCCACAGCCAGTGTTTGTAATCACTAAGCCGATCTTTGGCTACCTTTTCAACTGCTTCCACACCTGTGGCTGCTTCTTTGTGTGTCCTAGTTTAAATCCATTTAGTCCGCAGCAAAAGCGAGCTTAAGTCACTTGTCCAAACTGCAGTATTCGTGTTTTTGGAAGAGCTGCCTTTGCCAGTGAGGATTCTGAGAAATCACTGCTGTTTCCGGAACCAGAGGGAGCTGGGTTGGAAGCCCTGCTGTTGTTCCGTAGGCGTCTTGTGACTGAGAGGCAGTCCTCACTGGCATGTTAAATCCTGCTCCCTTGGCCAGCTCCTCCCTCTTCCGCTCTACTTCCCCATCTCGGCAGAGTCATTTTCAGGTGTAAGTGTGACGAATTTGCTCAGATCTTTTCATTCCCTGAGCTTTTTAAATGCCCCGTGGAAATTTCATCCCATTCCTTGACCATCGTACATACAATTGAGAGGAAATGTCTGTCAAACCAGCCTGAGGGGCAGCCTGGTATGACTGAAAATAATAAACAGAAGAATGAGTGAACTGTTACTCATTTGCTTCTCTGGACTTTGGTGTCCTCATTGCAGACCAAGACTGGCTGCGAGAGGGTCACTAGCGCCCCTGGAGGACCGAGCCCGACAAGTGCTTGGCAGAGGCCTCACAGTTTGGACCACTGACACCCTTGGAGCACCCTGTGCAGTCAGAGCCTATTTTATAGGCGAGGAAACCAATACTCGTGAAGAACATTCCTCCTGTCACACACAAGAGCCAACGCCAGAACTCACATGCCAGCACCTCGGCCTTGTTGCTGAAGTGATTTAGTGACTTGTGCACCTCTGCAGGCAGGAAGAAACCTTCCGAATAAGAGCCCTTCATGGACACTCCCTGCCAGGCTGATTTGGAAGACATCACTGCCAGTTCTGAGGATCCGGGGTATGTGTCTTCGGATCCCTTCAGCAGTGCGTCACTGACAGAGGAGGAGCCTGACAGTCTCCTCAGTAAGTCAGAATACAGGTTTCCGCAGCAGCTCCTCCACCGGAAGACTTAGGCCACTTGCCTCCCCTCATCACTAAGAGGGGACTGACCCCTGTCGGGTGTGTTGACAACACTGGCTACCAAAGTGCTCCTGTGGGTAAGGATGACCAGGACGCAGCAGGTGCTCAGGAAATGCCGATAGAGTTCAGAGACAAAAATGTAGCCATTGATGGGAACTCTGAGTTCCATACATCTGAGAACCGAAATGTGGGCCTGCACCTGCGGCTCCACATCCCCGCCTCAGTGCTGCGGGGAGAGGAAAGGTTCTCAGAGGTGCTCGTGATACAGAAAAGCTGTGACCCATGGAGCAAATGAAAGGAGAAGCAAATAGCTGTGTTCCCTCACCATGAAGGGCCTGAGTGGAGACCCGTGGCCCAGGTAAAGCCTTTTTCTATTTTATCGTCGGTGGCTTCTTTGCTATTGAGGTCAATAGCTGTTGGGGTGCAGGATTTACAGAGCTGAAAGCCGTCCCAGAGGGGTATGAGAGGAGTCAGGTCCCCCACCTCTGGTTCAGAACAGGTGGCAGCAGCACAAGTGTGTGTGCTGGCTCTGCCCCGGTCACCCGTGACTGGAGCTCCGTGTGGTCACTGGCACAGTCACTCCCAACTCCAGAGGGACCACTGCTTCTGATGTCTCTGGGTGCAGCAGCGGCGCATTTAGTGCTCCAGGACAGTGTGATGATGACCCTTCCCACAGGGGGCCTCTTCCAGGTGCTGGTCTTGGTTGAAGTGCCCCCAGCAGAAAGCAGCAGGGAACAAAAAGATGAAGAAGAATCAGAGGGCAAGACCAGGCTTAGATCCTCTGCAGATCACCCTCGGGCCTGACAGACCTGCACTTGTAGGCTGAGGTTGAAGTGGAGTAAATCATTCTATTGTATGGTGTCCCTTGGATGAAACTTTAGGACAAATTCCTCTGAATACGCTGGGTGTGATGGCGCATGCCTATAATTGCAGCTCTCAGGAGGCTGAGGCAGGAAGATATCCAAGAGTTCAAGGCCAGCCAGGGCTACAAAGTGAGTTCAAGTCCAGCCTGAACTGCATAGTGAAACCTTGTCTCAAAAAAGACACCCCCCAAAAAGGACAAACTCCTCTGAGTTTAGAACTAGGAGACAATGTTCTCTGTTTGTCTCCATTCTTCTAGGTAAGGAGTACATTTTTTTTTTTTTTTTTTACTTTCTTTTTTGCTCTTGGTATGAAGAAATTTGAAACTAAGTCTAGTGTTCAACTGCTATGCTTTCCTCTGCCACAGATCTTACTAAAGTTCTTAGCCCACCCCGATCTCATTTGTTTTCTGTTTCGTGTTTGAGCATTCATATGTGTGTGGTAAACTGTCTTGGATCCATTCTGGAAAAGAACCAAGTGCGCAGGAAGGGCTAATGAGGCAGGATGGGGCCAGCGGCCCTGTGCAGTGGGGGAGGGGAGACACAGGCCAACAGAAAGCACAGCCCAGGGGAAGGAGCAGAGGCTGCTGCATCCAGGGCTGCCCTAACCCGGGGAACTAGAGTTCCTGGGAAACCTACATCTTACTGGAAATAGTGAAAGTACAGGAACAATAAAAGCGAAGTTTTTCAGCTCATGGGTAATGTCAAGAACTCATGAGCAGAAGACAAGGGTACGTACACAGAGTTGATGGCCCACTTTAAGTTCCACCCAAGCACCCTTCTTCCCCCTCTAGCCATGCCAGGTCTGTGCTCTGACTAGAATTAGGTGACCGTGTACTATGGGACTGAAGAGGAGGAACCCCTCAATTTTGCTGTCAGTTCTGTGGTCCAGTCCTGTCCTCAGTGGAGTGAGGGGCTTCTGAGGATGACAGAGACCTGTGATTAGATCTTGGCACTGACAGTAGCTCCCTCTGTGTCTCTCAGGGGGACACTTAACCCTAAGCTTCAGTGAGCTCAACTCACTGTAAATTGAGGGTCATAGCACACATATAGAAGGGTAGCCAAGTTCATATAGATTGAAAAATAGCCCAATAAATAATTCTCCTTTCCCATGGCTACCTGGTCTCTCAGGATAGAGATGCTATTTCCCAGTGTTTTTCCTTTCCCCTTTAAGTACTGTACCGAACCAGAACAGACTACTGGTTAAGAAACATGGGCATTTCCTGAGCTGCCAGGTATGGCCCTGACTGGAGACAGGAATCACTTCTTTCCCCCAGAGACGCCTATTCTGCTCAGGTTAGCAGGAGGAAGGTGTTCCTGACATGGCAGCCAGCTTACTAGCGGTGATCTCAGCACCCACAAGGCCTAAAACCCACGGAGAGTGGGACGTTCTGTAGCTGAAGATGAGGGAACTGGAGCCACTGCCAAAACCACGCCTTCGACTGGCAGTACCCGCTTGGGTGCCACAGACCTCTGACGGCCTCCTCGAGGCCAAAAAGTTGGGGGAGGGGCAGAGCACAGAAGTGCCCGATGGGAGATCTGGGTTCCTCAAAAGCGGGTGGCACCAGGGAGACGCTGGAGTCGGCAGAAAGTCTTTAGTGAGAATTTGACTCCCGTTCCAAGAACCTTTGAAAATTTCCCTATATAAGGAAATGAGAACAGTACCTCCTGGTGAAGCAGGCAGGATGAGCGGGTGTACGTCAGGTGCTTTCGTGGTGTCCAAGGTGCTCAGTTAGGGTTGGTCAACTAGAAGCCTCCGGCTCGGTGATTCGTTTGTTCACACACCCTAAGGAAATGACGAAATAGGTGAAGAAAGCATTTTTCTATGTCGGTAAGAATTGGAAACAACCTAAATTTCCAGCAACAGGGGAGACTGTGATTCATTCATGGAGTAGTATAGTATGCTACCATGAAATAATCATTTCAAGAGGCAAGATTTTCATGAGAAATTACTGGGGGAGTAAACAATGCAGAAGACAGACATGGTGGCCCGTGCCTGTAATCACAGCAACTAGAGAGGCTGAGGCTGGAGGATCAGAAGTTAAGGCCAGACTAGACGAGTGAGCAAAACCCTGTCTCAAACTAAAATAAGTAAATAAAAAGGACTGGGAGTGTAGCTCAGTGGAACAGCACTCCTGGGTCTGAGCCCTAGGGCCGCTGGGGTGTTCGCTACTTTTCTGCAGTGCTGGAGGTTGAACACATGGCAGACAAATGCCCTACTACACCCTCCTGGAATAATTCTAAGGCTACAGAAAAGTTCCAGAAGTAGAATTTCTGTTTGCACTTCACATAGTCTCTCCTAATGTTGATGTCCTGTCTCAAAAGATATGTTTGTCACAACTATCAGATTAATGTTGGTATACTATTAGAATGATAAGACATTTTTATCAGTTTACTAGTTTTTCCACCAATGTTCTTTTTTCCTTTCCAGGATCCAACCCTTTAAATCACATTGCAATTACTATTTTTGGTTTTTACGATTTGTGTAGCCGAGTGTGGTGGCACATGCCTGTAAGTCCTAGCACTCAGGAGGCTGAGAGACAGGGGTATTGCCACAGGTTCAAAGCCAACCTGAACTACATAGCAAGAACCTGTCTCAAAAAAGTTTTTAAAAAATAAAAGTGGCAGACGTGGTGGTGCACGCCTGTAATCCCAGCACTCAGGAGGCTGAGGCAGGATGATCGTTGCGAGTTCGAGACCAGCCTGGGCTACAGAGTGAGCTCAAGGCCAGCCTGAACTGCATAGCGAGACCCTGTTTCAAAAAGACATACATACATACATACATACATACAGAAATATAAAAGTTTGGGTACATAGAAAAGCATCTAAAAAGCCACAGATGAAAAGAATACCTGTGATCATAGCTGAGTGGTAGAATCATTATGAGAATTTTTTTTTTTTCATTACTAAGGATTGAACCTGCGGCCTTTGCACTGAGCTACATCCCCAATCCTTTTATTATTTTTTATTTTGGAACCCGTCTTGCTAAGTTCCCCAGACTATGTTCAATCAAAAGTGCAGTCCTGGGGGCTGGGGATTTAGCTCAGCGGCAAAGCGCCTGCCTGGCAAGCACAAGGTCGTGAGTTCGGTTCCCAGTACCGGAGAAAAACCAAAAAAAAAAGTGCAGTCCTCCTTCCTCATCCTCACAGAGTGCTGGGATTACAGCCACATGCCACCCCTCCTGGCTGCAGATGTTTAAAGTTTTTAGTGTGGCTTAGTTTTTCTGTGTTCGTTGTGTCCCAGTATTTAAAAACAAACACAGCTTCTGTCTTGAAGCCAAGTCGGAGCCCTGCAATTACTCCCAGTGCGGCTACTCTGTGTTGTGCTGAGGCACTCGGCTGTCCTTCGCTAAGACTGCACTCAGGAGGGGCCGTGTCTCTCTGTCCCTCTGGCTGGTTAAATGAATGAGAAGTCAGAGGAGCTTATCGCCACCAGCTCCCAGAGATTAACTAGTCTTAGCACTCTTTTTCAGCTTAAGGCGGCCACAGGTTTAGGTCTCCTCTGGTGACCCCAGCAGAAGGACAGGATCTGCTTTTGCAGTTTACAGTCTCAGGGCCAACTTTCATGTCTGTGCCGAATGCATTGCTGGCCAGGAGCATGGCTGTGCCAGTTGGCCAGGATTCGGTCAGCGGGCAGGCCTCTAGATGACTTCCCAAAAAGCCTGAGTTCTTGTATTCAGAGGAGGGGGCAGTGGATGCTGAGCAAGTTAAACACCGCAGTGCACACCCCCAGAGAAGGCGTTTTAATCTCTAGGTCTTCTCACCAGACTGTAAGCTTCCTGACAGAAGTAAGACCACATCAGTGCTGTGCATTAAATCCCTAGCACCCAGCATGGGCTTGGCATGTGGCAGGGGCTTAGTTATTATTTAAGTGAATAAATACACTTATTGGTAAATGAAACAAAGTCATTTAACTAAGGGGTATTTGAATCGGGATGTTACAGACAACAGAAAACTTACACATCTGTCGGCTCATGCAACCAAAATATCTACTGGAGCCTGGCAGTCAGGCATGGTTTATTAGGACTACTGAGTCCTCCCTCAGGCTCACTTCTCTCATGGTAGCAAAAGGACTGCAGCAGTGCTAGATAGCACATATGTACTTCACACCACCCAGAACAAGAGAGAAAACCTAGAGTATCTGTACCCCAGAATTCCTAGCAAATTCCCAAGATTCACTGTGGTCTGAGTCAGGTCACTGTCCACTCTATGAGTGAGCCATTAGAGACAGGAGTCATTTGTTGGGTTAGCACAAATCATGTGTCTCACCCTTAAAACTGGGGAGATGAAGATGGAGAGAATTTACTTCCTGGGACTATGTGGATCCCCATTGGGAAGTGAGAATCTGAGAAAGAGGAAAGCAGCCTGGATGCTGGATCCTGGGAAGGTGAGCCACAGGCGCTCAGCTCAATGGAATACACTGGCCTGTGTGGCACAGACAAGGACAGCAGGAGCTAAAGGCAGCGAGTGAGGGTTGCTGCAACCAAAGAAGGGACACTTCCTGGAGAAGGATGCAAGACTGCGCCAGCCCTGAGGGGCGAAAGATTTGGGCAGTGGGTAGGGACGAGGAGGTGGAGTGAGGGGAAGGACGCACCTCAGAGAGGTTTTGAGCATTTCCCCATAGTCGCCAATCAGCAAAGGGGTCTTTGCTCTTGCTGGAAATCATGCAATTGACGTGTTGCTAGACAGGGTTCCAGTAGGTCCCTAAGAGGAGATGAGGACTTTAGCTCTCCCCCACCCAGTACGTTCGTCAGCTGTCATCACAGATAAAGAATTTGAGGATGTGCTGGTGAGAGGCATAGCCTGATTTATTAGGCAAAGTTAGAAAGTACAAGAAAACAGCGACTGCCTGGAAAATGCTAGGTCATGAATTCAATTCCCGGTACCAAAAAAAAAAAGTACAAGAAAACTAGCAGGGCAAGGTGGAACACATGCCTGTAATCCCAGCACTCAGGAGACTGAGGCAAGAGGATCACTAGTTTGAGGCCAGCCTGGCCTACATAGAAGACTATCTTTTTAAAAAGAGAGGAAAAAAAGAAGACAGCAAGAGAAAACAGGGAAGGGACTGTAGTCTGAGGAACTAAAGGAGGCACAGCTCTGATGAAGTGGACTGGCCTGTTAACCAAAGAATGAGACCCGATCTTATGAACAGGTAGGTAGACTCGATCATCGCTGAGGTAGACTAGGGGCTGGAACTTTTCTTGAGTGTGGCATTTTTGAAAGACTTTTCCCTCAGGTCTTTTTTTGTGTGTGTGAGGTTTTTTTGAGACAGGGTCTCACTATGTAGCCCAGGCTGGCCTCAAACTTAGGGAAATACTCCTGCCTCCGCCTCCCAAGTGCTGGGGTTACAGGCGTGCACTGCCACACCTAGCTTCCTCATGTCTTAAGGGATTTCCTCCCTGTGAGATATGGATTAAAGGTCCATTCTCACCCTAGGGACATCCTGGAGTTCCCGCTGGTATTATAGCCCACTCGGTCCTTGAAAGAAGAGTACAGAGATAAGGGCAGTGTGCATTCCATACATGGTTATGCAGGGAGGGTAAAGAAAAAGAGATGTCTCCATCTCTAGTGGGCAGCTGGCTATGGATTAAGGCCTAAATTCTACACCTCATGTCCCATGAGGGTACCTGTCCTGTTTTACAATGTGCCCGGCATCATGCTGAACCCTTGTGATTATCCCAGTAAATGCTCAGTGTCTTACGGGTTGGTATTATCACTGTTCCTATTTTACAGATGAGACACTGCAATTCAGAGGTCACACCGTACATGTGGAAGTTGGGATTGGACTCAGCTTGCCTGGCTCTGAAACCTGTACTTGGAGCCGTGGTACTGGGGGGTGAAGTGGACAGTGGTCACCGAGAAGTTTGTGCACTGGTGAAGGGCAGGAGGTCACCACAGGAGTGCAGAAGGGTATGTATCACACGATGGCATTCTCCCACAATCCTCGGAGACAAGTATTACTGTCATCCCCGCCTGAAAGACACAAAACTGGAGGCATAAAGAAGATGAGGATGTCAGGGCTGATGGCACACCTTATGCTGAGGCAGGAGAATTACAAAGTGGAGGGCAGCCTGGGCCACTTAGTAAGACCCTGTCTCAAAATTTTAAAAAAAAAAAAAAAAGGGGGGTTGGACTTGTAGCTCAGTAGTAGAGCACAATCCCTAGTGCTACAGTCAATCGATCAGTAGAAATGAAAATGTTTGGGGATGTAGCTCGGTGTTCTCTGGGTTCAACCTCCAGTACCACAAAAAGAAAATGAAGTTAAGTAACCTGCGTAACTTGGTAAGTGGCGGGTCCTGACTTTGCACCCTGGCGAGCACCCTTTGGGATCCCGTGATCATCATTATCATCATCGTAGTAATAGTAATGTTGCATGTGAAACAGCTTTTGGGGAGCACATGTTCCATGCTGCGTGCAGCACTGTGCACTTCGGACTGTTGCTTCCTGTTTAGTGGGATTCTAAGCAGGTGGGTCGAAGGACTCTGTCTTCGCGGGAGACCATTCCCAGGGCCCACGGTCCGGTGCAGATGCTGCTCCGGGTCTTGTGTCTGAGCTGCCCGTGGGGAAGTGGCCTGGCTGCCTCCCCAGATTGCTGACGGCACAACTTTTGGCAGGGGCAGCCAGAGCCTCATGCTGCTGTTGGCCGAGAGCCTGGCCAGAGGGACTGAGCCAGAATGGAGTGAGCAGCTGTGAGGCCTGGGCCCCTGGGGACTCCAGGCACCCTGGCCTAACGCTGGGACAGTATTCAAGCTATCACAGCCAGAGATGGGGACTAAATATTAGGACCCTTGTGTTCCAGGCTCATCTTGGCTTTTACACTGTGGGGCCTCAGAAAAATCCCTGCCCTTCCGTGGGCCTCACTCTCCAGGAAAGTCAACTAATATCACCCCTGTCCTTGACCTTCTTGATGAATATGACCTATGACTCCCTGGACCCCTGAGGTGCCACGAAGTAGTCATCCCTGCCTAGAAACCCGGACCCCAGGTCGTTTAGAATCCCTCCCGGTGCCAAGCCCTGCTGAACACTAGGGTCGCAAAGGGAGGGTGAGCTGCTCTCTGCCTTGCGGTAGCTTCCAGTTGGTATCAGCCCAGTGGGGCAAGTCTGTCACTGCACAGAGAGCAGAGCTTCCTCGGAGCTGCCGAGCTCCAAGCGGGGAGCATCGGACTCTGCCTGCAGCAGCCTGGAAGGCTCCCAGCAGGAAGAACATGGAGTTAAACTACCTGCACTCTCTGGGCAGAGAAGGGGTGTGTAGTCACCATAAGAGTACAACCTGTGCAACAGTCGGGGGGCAGAAAAGACTGCTGTGTACTGAGGAGAGGGTGAGATCTGCACACACATTGGAGAGAGGAGGGTGTTCGTGTGGGAAAGTGGGGCTAACGGGACAGGCGGGAGGCGGCAGGGGCTGAATTGAACACCGGGCTCCTGAGCTGCAGCTGAAGGCTCCAAAGCTAGAACAAGCAGGGCCTAAGCACTCAGACCAGAGGGCCCAAGTCGGTCCACACACTTCCTCCCTTTCCTGGGGCTAAAGGCTGTGCTGTGCCTTCCCATTCGGAGCGCAGAGTTCCTCAGAGCAACCTGTTTATCCCAAACTCCTCCCACCATGGGCTGTGTCTTCAGGGTTTCTCCAGCAGCCTACAGAGGCCGCTGAGAGGCAGAGAACCCACCAGGGGTGCAGAAGCAGTATACTGGCCTGTGGAGAGCAGGCCAGACATGATCCCTACTGGGAGGGGAGACACATGCTCATGACTGTGCCAATAATTAGTTATTTACAAATATTTTGGTTCGGTGACTGGCCCAAGGTCACCTGGCCAGTCAGGGGAGGCTGGGGCTAAAACTGAGGGCTCTTCTGACTGATCTCAGGCCCACTGCCTCACAGATCCCTTCCACTGCTGTTTTTCTCCTCTCGCTCAAATGTCAACGACAAAGGATTTTCATCTGTGACCTTGCTGGACCCTCAGCGAGGTAGGCCCCACGCTCCCCACCCCAAGGCAAACGGAAACCCAAGAAGTGTACGGTAAGTGATTCATCTGTCCACACAGAAAGTCAGAGCCAAGACAAGAACCCGCGTCTCTGGGCTCCAAGATACCCTGGTGAGACAATAGAAGAAAACCACCTCTCTTTCCCAGCTTTGGCTTGGGCCACGCCATTCTTCGGATGACAGACATCCCAGGGACTTTCCTGGAGAAAAACTTCCTGGAAAGATAGGAGAACAGATCCAGAGATATGTTTGACTTGGGGACAGCTCTGTCCAAAGCCTAACTGTGTCTAGGGACCCCAAGCAGCTATCTTCCCAGCCTCACTGCAGCCCAGAGCAGACACTCAGACCAGGGTTCTTCCTGCGCTCCCAGTGGCAAACAGGGCTACTTTTGAATGAATTGAAGCATGAGCCCATACTGGGCCGGCACTGTAACCCTCTCCTTTGATCTGGATACCCCAAGGTCAGAGAGATCTGTAATCCGAGCACCATCCCCTCAAGATCTGAAATGGGAAGGACTATCTTTGGGCCCTAAGAGGGTCTACAGCCTCCAGGAGAGGAGATGAGGTTCTGATGAGCTGGGATGCTCTGGATGCCAGGGAGGAGGTTCCAACAGTAACGTAAATTGTCTGACAGGAAGCCAGGAGCACTACAAGTATTTCAGTGTATCTGAGGTCACATAGTTGCTATGTCCACAAAGTTCTTCGGTCCCTTGCATTTTCAGAGCACTTTCCCCTTAGTTATCGCCTGTGTTCCACACTGATCCACACAGCTGCCTTTCATGGAGCTAGAAATTAAAAATGGAGGAACAGAGAGAGCCGTCCAAGGCCTCGTAGAGAGGGACACATCTGGAATAAGATCCAGCCCAGCCTGCCCCAGACCTGACCCTTCCCCGTGGCCTCTGTCTGCCCTTACACTTCTGCCAAGCCAGAGGCCGCAATCTCTCGCAACTCCTGCTGAGCTGGAGGCCAAAGAAGCCAAAGAACCAACCCCTACTCCCCAGCAGAGCTGCCTTTCCTGAGAAAGGCTTGCCTAAGGAGATGAAATGAGTGGAGGCTTTAGTCCTGCCTCTGCCTCCTTCCCTGAGCGGTTGTGAGTTTGAAGCCATCGATCTGAAAGTGCTTCATAAACTGAAAAACGCTGTACCAGCACGAGGAAGGGGAACCACCACTGTTTGTATACAGACGGTGATTCGGAGCCAGGCCCTCAGGGAGCTCGCGGTCTTGGAGGAGGCCGACACACAGCGCCACAGTCTTAACATAGCCGAGTGACACCAGAGCCAAGGGGTGTGCCAGGCACTGGGACGGGGGTCATTTTGAGGAAGGCCCTGGGGGCATGGCGGGGGGGTACATGTTGGAGACTGGCCCCGAGGGATGTGTGAGAGTTCACCAGGCAGACAGCAGAGAAGACACCCTTCAGGGATGGGAACAGCTTATATAAAGGCACAGAATGGTGCCTGACTACAGCGTCCAGTCAGTGATGGGGGCAATGCATCTTACCTTAGCAAGGCTAACCAGACCCAAGAAGGCCCTGAGATACTCGTAAGGAGATTTGGAGTTCTGCTCAGTAAAGCATGGAAATTCTAACATAGAAAAGTAGCAGTTGTACTAAGAATTACTGTTTCCTTTCTTTTCTTCGCTTTTCTTTAGACTTCAAAATAAAGGCACCGAGTGAGCAAGCAAAGTGTCCAAGGCTTCTGTAATACTCAGAGAAACAGAACAAATAGCATCTCTATATAATTGCATAATTATGGGAGCCAGCAAGTCCCAAGATCTACAGATAGAGTTGAGAAGCTGGAGACCCAGGACAGCCAATAGTTTCGTTCCAGTGCACCCCAGGCCCCATCAAGTTGGCACCATCAGACTGTCACATAGCTAAACTTAGCTCTCACAGCCTCACATCTACAAATGGCAAGGCTGAAGTTGTAGTCAAGAGCCCTTCCCTGCTGCAGTGGGGACAGAGAGCCAGGACACCCTTTCCCATCCTGGACTCCAGAGCTGAGTCAGCTGGGGAGAAGCAGCCAGTCACTGGCCAGATTAGACTATGGACCCAGCAGGGCTTATCTTAGGCAAGGAGCTAACCACCAGCCTCTCTGTTTTAGGCAAGACTCCACCTAAGTGTTATACCCTCTTGGAGGAGAAATGAAGATAAAGAGCTTCAAAGGAACTCCCCCAGCAGGGGCCTTGGCAGGAGCAGGACCTTCTCAGTCAGGCATCTGGACAACTGTGCCTCTGTTCCTTTACCATCTGCTCCTTACCCTGGAGAGCCATTGCTTCCAAGACTGTTGGAACTGAAAAGCCCTCAGCCTTCCCTTCTTTAATTCAACACCATTATGCCAGAGGAAAAACAGGTCCAGAGAAGGAGAGAGAGCCTCCTCGTGGTCACTCAGCTGGTCCAGTCCTCCTCCAGCTGTATTTATAGATCTTACTGCAAAAAACCTATAGGTTTTGTGTGTGAGGATTTAACATGTCATGGGGATGACGAGTTAAATCCAGGATGATGGTTACGTGATCCTCTCCCCACCAGCCTGGACCTGTAAGGAAAAGATTTACCTACCTGTGGGCCTCTAGTTTCCACACCGACCGCAGCATAGAGAAGGTGTGTAACCATTCTACAGTGGCCCTGTATGTGCCTCAAGGCCTGGGAAACAAAGGATAGATTCTTAGAAAACAGAATCTTCATGGCCCAGGGTTCATATGAATGAGTGAGGAAAAAAAGGAGCCAAGGTTACTACACCCCAGGCTCCAGGTCTCAGCCCCTGAGTCCATGGGGATATCCTCTCATTGTGAGGTGAACGAGGAGGAGCGGATGTGAGAGGAAGATGACGAGTAGAGTTGGAACCTTGCACCCACAAGTAAAAGTCTGGAGGTGGAAAAGTACAAGCTTGTTTGAGGAAGGTTTTTGCTGTGTCTCAGAGAACAGGAGGCAGTAGGCATAAGAGGTGAAAGGTTTCAGGTGGAAGCCAAGTGGAAAGCCTTGATCCCTTTGGGGCAGTAAAGAGCCAGTGACTTTGTTTACACAGGCCCTCGGCATGATGGTTCCAAGTTTATTTCCAGGAGGCACTGGGGACAGTACACTCCAGATTCCTCAGGGAGCAGGGAAGATGTACTGTGCTGTACTAACATGAATCTCCACTTTCCTTCCTGTTCAGAATACTTCTGTGGCCATCACCCCTTGGAGCTCAGCACCCTTAAGACTAGGGAGGGATAAAAACACCCATTAGACAGATGGAAAAACTAAGATGCAGTAACTTGCCCAGAATAACAGCTGGGAAGCAGATTACAAGGCCCAAGACCATTGAAGCTTACCCCCACCCCATTTTACAGAGAAGGAAGCCAGACTCAAATGGGGGGGTGTCAATGAGGAAGTAGAAATACAGAATGATGAGTTCTCTAAGCCACTCAATGACCAGTCACCAATCCCTCCTACTATTCTGGGTGTTTCTTCATCTCTCTATAAGACTGGGCCTACTATCCAACAGCCCAGAGTTTATAAAATAACTTAGCTTGGCCGTGGTATCTTGGTCTGAAGATCATGCCACTGAAGACCCAGAAGCAATGTCAGTCACTTCCTGAAGAGGAAAAAGGACTGCCCTGGTCACCCAGCCAACAAATCAGGAACTGACTCCAAAGGCTGTTTTCCTGGCCAGTCTCTTGGAGCAGCAGAGTTGAGGCTTGGCTGGTAGGACCAGAATCTGGATGACCCCAGTCACTGCCCTGTGACAGAGAGGTTCTGAGGCCAGAGATGGCAGGTCTGAGGCTTCACAAGTTAGGACATTTTATTGCTCTGTCTCACACTCCACCGGGAACTTTCTAATGACGTTGCAGGGTGGGGCAGGGCTGCAGTATTTGAGAACACACCAGGAGCAGGGGTTTTCCACCCAGATCCCTGCAAAGTTGCTCCATCATTCTGTCTCACCACAACCATTTCCTTCTCTAAAACCCCTCCCAACAGGCCGTGAGACCATGCAGGCTCTCAGCATAGAGTAAACCAAGACTGGCTTGTTAGCTGTGGCCACACCAGGCCCAGAAATGTCACAAGAGGCCCTCCCGCCTGGCTGAGGGCATGTGGGAAGCTGGCCCAAGTTACAACTCTCTGAGAGTAAAAGTAACATGCTCCCAACCCCTGCAAAGCAGTCCAGTGCGATAGCTCCCTTGATCCTCACAGCTACCCCTGGGGTAGAAAGAGTTGTCATCAGTGGCTACTATACTGACAAGGAAATGGAACAAGGAAGCAGACAAGAAAACAGAAGATCCCAGGGTAAACCCACTTTTCTGTCTCAGTGAACTAAAAGTATTGAGTGACCAACTCCCCTCAAGAAATGTAATTATTATGTACTGATAAAAAATTAGCCAGGCATGATGATGCATGCCTATAATCCCAGCACTCGGGAAGCTGAGGCACGAGGGCCACCAAGAGTTCAAGGCCAACCTGGACTACATAGTGAGTTCAAGGCCAGCCTGAGTTACAAAGAAAGACCCTGTCTCAAAAAAAAAAATTAACTATTTTAAAAAGTATTAAAATTCAACATGGTGGCACACACCAGTAATCTCAGCATTCTAGAAGGTTGAGGCAGGAAGATCACAAGTTTGAGCCCAACCCAGACAATTTAGTGAATTAGAGAGATTTTGTCTCAAAATAAAAAATAAAAAGGGGCAATATAGCTCAGAGGGAAGGCCCTGGGTTTAGTCCCCAGTACCACACATGCAAAGAAAGTCTTTTTTTATTTTTGTCTTTTTGAGACAGGGTCTTGCTATGCAGTGCAGGCCGGCCTCAAGCTCACTTAAGTGACCTAGGCTGGTCTCAAACTCGCAACGATCCTCCTGCTCAGCCTCTCAAGTGCTGGGATTACAGGCGTGTGCCACTGCAGCCGACCAAAAAAGTCGATTTTAAAGTGCCCATCACCAGTGATGGTTTTATTTCCTTTGTGTTTTCCTAACTTACTGCATCAAGTATGTATGACTTCCATAAGAGGAAAGTATTATTATTTTTCAGAAGTGAACTGTACACGTCAAGGACTGGGCTGTCCTACCTGATCAGCCGGAGCCTCAGCAGTTCCTGAGAAAGAGGCCTGGGGTTTTGGTTGCCCTCAGACCAGAATGAGTCAGCAGGGTGAAGTGGCTGCCAAAACACCAGCAAACAGAAACACAGTCTTGGATTAGAGAAGAACATTTCTCCTGCACCTCACAACCAGTCAAGCCTCCTTTGAGGCTCAGCATGCAGGAAAGCTACTTCGACATGCAGACCTCAGCACTGCCAAGGGACCTTGGAGAAGAGGCCCTGGGGAAAGGTTCCATAGCACACACAGTTGGCAAGCGAGTACAGGCAGGGCTTGCACAGGGGGCTTTCCCTGGCCACATAGTGAGCTTCCTGTTACTGGAAATGCAGAGACAGGCTGAAGACTACCTCTACAGGGCAGCCGTGCCGATAGTCAATTGCATTAGCAGGCCACCCTGATCATAGAGTTTGCAGGACACGAAGGCAGAGAGATATATAGTCCGCTCCACATCCTAGGGAACATGCTAAAACTATCACAGTGAACAGCTGTGGTAATGATAACAGTTTATTGAGCACTTGTTATGTATCAAGCTCTTTACGCTCAGCACATCACATTGATGTCTGGTTCTCAAACTTGAGCTATACCAGAATTCCCTGGAAGGTAGGCTGCAACCGACAGCTGAGCCCCATGTCCAGGGTCTCTGACTCAGTGTGTCAGGGGTGAGGCTAATCCACAGGTGACTTTAATGCTGCTGATCTGGAGACCACACTTTGAAAACCACAGTATATATTATCTTATTTATTTGTCACAACCGCTTTATGACAGAGGTTCTGTAATCACTCCCATTTCACAACACAGCCATCATCTGAGGCTCCTGAGAGGTAAAATTACTGTTTACGGCTACTAAGTGGCAGAGCCAAAGTTTGGATCCGGGTCTTTTCTGACTCCAAAGTTTAAGTTTAACCAAAACAATGAGTTTTCTCAATTAGCTGATGACTAGAAATCAAGATTCTAATTGTTTGATAACAATAAACCTTGCAAATTGTTTCTTCAAGATGTGAAATAAGAACACATTTTTTGATCCCAGATAGAGGTTAAAGCAAAGAGTTACCAGTGTCCCAGGGGCAGGGAAACAGCAATGTCCTGGGATAGGGAGCAGGGGAAGAGGATGAGCCAGCCCCTCCCCCACACCGGGAGGGCTCTGGGTTATACCACATGAAGCCCAGGATTTCAACACTCTTACAGCTCTCAGGCCCTCAAGCTATGCGCTCTCTTCTGGGGCACTCGTTTTTTCCCTTTGCTATGATGCAATTCACCAAACATTTATTGAGCATCTCACTCCACAGAGCAAGGTATGGTAACATGCAGCTGGCTAAATAATGCCCCCCTTCAAGAAGTCCTGATGGTCCTAATCCCCAGCGCTTGTAAAGTTTGCCTTAGATGGCAAGACAGTTAGGATTTGATTTGTTTGGTTTGGTTTTGGTGTTTTGAGACAGAGAATCTCTATATAGTCCAGGCTGGCCTTGAACTTGTGATCCTTCTGCCTCAGCTTCCCAAGTGCTGGGATCACAGGCCTATACCATATGCCTAACTTTAAATTAAGGATCTTAGATGTGTTTGGTTTTTTTTTGTTTGTTTGTTTTTTCAGGGTTTTTTTGCAGTACTGGAGTGTGATCTCTGGAGCTTGTGCATGCTAGGCAAGTGCCTTATCACTGAGTTCTACCCCCAGACCAAGGATCTCAAAGTGAGAAAATCACCTTAGATTATTATCCAAGTGAGCCTGATGTAATCACAAGGGTCCTTCTAAGAGAGCTTTAAAGATACTCCTCTGGCTTTGAAGATGGGGGATTATGAGCCAAGGCAAGTATGTCTAGAATGTAGAAAAGAGCAAGGTGTGGTAGTGCATGCCTGTGATCCCAGCACTCTGGGAGGCTGAGGCAGAAGGATCACAATTTAGCAACTTAGTGAGACCCTGTCTCAAAATTTTAAAAAATAAAAAGGCTAGGGAGGTAGCTCAGTGCAAAGGACCTGGGTTCAACCCTCAGTACCTTCAAAAAAAAGGAGGAGGAGGAAGAAAAGTCAAAGAAAGAAATTCTCTCACTACTACCCATGCCGTGATGTTTATGTGTTTACTTATTTAGTTAGTTAGTAGCACTACATCCTTGAATATGCTAAGCAAGGACTCTAACACTGAGCTACATCATCAGCTGCATACCTTGATTTTAGCCCCCAAGAGACCCACGTTGAACTTGTGGTCTCCAGAACTGGAAGATAATAAACTGCCTCTGGTGTGAGCAAGTACGTGCACATCCACATTCCCATCCTCACTGCTGCTGCCCTTGATTATGCAGGGAACAGATGCACAGAGGTAAGCATGTGGCTTCTGGCCTCGGGGAATGAGCACCTGCAGCCACCTAGACCTGCAGAGACCACTTTGCTGTTATTTTCACAACTAAACAACGTGTGATCCATTCCTTCGATAAACATTTACTAAGCACTTTCTCTGTCCCTGGCTTTGTGCTGGGTGCCGGTACAGAGAGATGAGCCCGACAGATTCTCATGGGGATGGGGCTTCCAGTGTGGCAGGGGGAAGAGGGAGCGGCTTGCGGAAATTCAGTACTTTTTCAAGTTCATAATTATAGTAAGGATGTCTCCGAAGGAGGTTCAGTTTTAAAGGAGCAGTCAAGGGAAAAGAACATTATCATTTAAAATTATACTTAAAAACCTTAAATTAGGTAGACTGGGGCTGAGCGTGCAGCTCAGTGGTGGAGCAAGTGCTTAGCATGCACAAGGCTCTTTGGCACACAAAAAAAAAAGAAAAAAGGAAAGATACATCTAGCACAATGATTCTTTTGCACGCTCAGGTCTGAGAGCAGTGAATGATCCAGAAATAACTCAAAGAAAGGCTACCTCGAGCAGTCTAGAACCAAAGCGGCTCTGCCTTTAAGGAAATGACCCCACCCCCAAGGCTGAGCTGAGGTTGGACAGGGAATTGGCGCTCCTGGAGGCTGGAGGGCGGACTCGAGTTGGTTTTTGTATTAAGCGTCCATCGTGTCAGCACATGTTACCAGATGAGCTTGCCTTTATGAGGATAATGCCACATTCTGGAGCAGCTCCTTTGGAGGTCAGTGGGTGGAGAACAGGCTGTAAAGTTGGCACTAGTTGAACGTGTCCCTGATGTGAGTCCGCAGGGCAAACTGGGTCATTCCTATTATGGAAGAGACCTGGAACTGTGAGAAAAGCTGGGGAGTTGGGGAGCTCATCAAGGCCTTCCCAGAGGAGGTGATATGACATTTCAATGAGGACAGAGGGGCACAAGCCAGGCGAGACAATTATGAGGGAGATTATTCTGGGTTTGCATGTCACCTCAGCAAGTGGCTGGAGTTGAGGCCTCCTTTGGAGGCCCAAAAGAGTGACAACTAGAGCCCCGATGCATCCCCAAAGCAGTGCTAGGACTCTCCTCTTTAACCCTGAGGACTTCTGGGAGATCTTTTTCAGTAAACCCCATGTATGTTTGACTTCCTCAGAAACACTGGGGATTTCTAAAGACTTGAGATTTCTTGTTTATCTACCGCTTCTATCTAGGGCACTCTCTGTTTTCTGGAATGCTGTGGGGAGGCTTTGGGAAGAGTGATCCTAGAACCTTCTCTGAGTTACTGCTCTCTGGGACTTGACCTGTCTGTCTGTAAAGTGGAGGTTGGGAGCAGGTTGATCCTTGGCAGCTTTGACGTGCTCTGATGGGATCGTTGGGGAAGCAGCACCCTATAATTAAGCCCCTGGCCCTGAGTTCAAATCTTATCTCCACCATTTATGAGCTCCTGGGCAAATCCTTTTCCTCTCTGGGGCCCTATCTCCTTATCTGTATGACAGTGACCACCATTTCCATCCCTCTGGCCTGTATACGGATTACATGAGATCATGCACATAAATCATTCAGTGCTGTGCCAGGCCCAGCAAATGGCAGCTGCTGTCGTTATATTTTGTAATAGTTTTTAAATGAAACGTGTCAGCTCTGCCGATCACAGTGACACAGAACGCCCGTAGGGTTTACCAACCTCTGCAGACAGCGCCAGAAGATCCTCTAATGGGTGTCCAGGGAAACACCCAGAGCTGGGTGGCTTCTCTTTGGCAGAAACTGGAGAAACTCCCCATGGGGAAACATCTGTTGGGTAGGCGGTGGCTGCGCTAACTTGTGGGTATGAGGACAATTCCGAGACTCTGAGAGTGAGCCTGGGTAGTCTGGG